CTTCACCTCGCTATGCTTGGTATATTTTCATGATGTTAGATGAAATTCATAGACAAGAACGTGAAGAGCTAGAGAACAAGCTTGAAGCAAAAGACAAAAGCATTCAGAAAAGAATACCACGTTCGGTACCAAAAGGAAAGGAAAAGAACTATAAGTATATGATTTATACTGAAGAGATGGAAAATGAAGAAGACAGAGATATGGTTATGTTGCATTTAGTCAGAAGAAACAACAAAAGCTTTTACGACCTTGCTAAGATTTACAAATCTGACAGAAATTGGTTCTATCGCGAAAACTTACCGATTTCAATGACACCGAATGAAGATGTGAAACAAATAGTTCAAGATACGTTACCTCAAACACACTATGATATGAAAGGTTGTACAATTCTTACCTTCAAAGAAGATTTGCCATTGTTAAAGGAAAAAATAACAGAGTATTTTGACAACTTCAAACAAGTAGAGTAAATGAACCATTTATTTTTACGCTTGACTTCAGATGGCTCAGGTAGCTCTATAAGGTAAATTGTCTCGTCAAATCCTTCTGGCATTCCGAGTCCTTCCTTCCGACATTCCAAGTTCTTCCTTCCGACATTCCGAGTCCTTCCTTCCGACAGGAAAAGTTTTTCTTTCCGACAGGAAAAATTTTTCTTGTTGTCCGTCCGTAAACCATTCAAATTTTCGAAAATTGAGAACTTTTTGGTCGACCTTCAGAAAAAGTTTTTCCTTCCGACAGGAAAAGTTTTTCTTTCCGACAGGAAAAAAATTTCTTGACAACTGGAAGAACTCTTCCTTCCAACAGGAAAAGTTCTTCCTTCCGACAGGACACAAACGAATGTCCGACGTACCACCAACCGAGTCCATTCCAAAGCCAGAAGAACCGACAGCCCCAGCACCACAACAGACTAAGACTCAAACACTTACATTTTTACGCTTGACTTTTTACAATTTGAACTTTGTTTGCGTAGATATGAATTCTGAAAGAAGTATGAGGGTCTTGTATGACTTTGTACTTCTCCCATAGTTCATGTCTGTCAAACTTACCTGCCATGGACTCTTTCATAAGTTCCATGAAATCGTCTTCGGACAATCCGGGGAAAAGTACAATGTCAGTAAGTATTCTTTTAACATCCTTACTTAAACTCTTTGCTGTCTGTACACATATTACGACTGAGATATTAAAGTGTCTGAGCTTCTTAAGAATTCGACACATGTCTTGTTCTCTGTTCTTTAACAAAGGATGAGAAGCAAAGTCATCTAAGATAAGAAGACACCTATGAGGGTACGTTTTCCAATCGTACGATTGCAATTTCTTCGAAATGTATTCTATCTCTTTCTGTTTGTTTCTGAAGTGTTTCTTCTCTAATATTCTCTGCATTTCCTCATTTGGGTCTTTAAACTTAGAATTGACATACTCATTTATAGCATTGTACTTCAAAACTCTTCTTTGGTACTTCTTTATCCAATCTAACAACTCAGTATCTTTTATACATACTAACTTAGACTTTTTTATAATATCTTTGAACGAATTGACGGTTTGGTCAAATTGACCAGAAGTACTACAAATAACAACTAACTCATAGAATGGGTTCTTCTCATCTAGTTCTTGTTGTTGTGCAGCCATTTTAAGATAAGTGAAAGTCTTACCCGACCCAGGTGGTGCGATTAGACCTGTTATACCATTCTGAGCAAATAAGAACTTGTCATGTATAGGCTTTATCTGAGCATTTTCTAACTTCCTCTTGTTCTTATTTAAAACATTCTCAAATTTCTTGTCAATGTCAGCAAACTTTTTTTCTAACATATTTTTAGAAAAATTAAAATTTTTATCTTTTTGAAAATGTCTAGCGATTTCGCTATCTATATTCGAGACAAACTTTTCGACAGCAAAACATCTGTCGACCATAAAATCTTACATAGTGTAAACAAGAAAGGTGAATTTGTTCTAAAGTTCTGTTTCTGGGAATATGACAAGAACCATAAAACATTACAAAGAGCAGTCTTAAAATTTGTCAATGACAGACTTGTTGACAGAGATGACGCCGATTGGAAAGCTGAAGTCCAACAAAAGTTCTTAGAATGCAAAGAAGACACATGCGCTGTTCTTGAAGATGAAATAGAAAACAGAATAGATGAGCTATTAAAGGACAAAGAACTTTTACATAAATATGGTTCTGAGAAGTTTGACATAACTCCACCAGAGAAGAAGAAGAAGAGAGAAAAGAAAGAAAAGAAAGTAGAAGAAGAGAAAAAAGAACCTGAACCAGTTCCAGAGAAGGTGAGATATGACATGTAAAAATAAAATTTTATTTTTAGAACATTTCTGGGTCAATGTCAATGTTCTCTTCCTCTTTAGGAGCAAACACTGGTTTAGACTCTAAAATCTTTTTACCTAATTTACCTTGAACTTCAACTATCTTAGACTCATAATATTCATAGTCGTCTGCTTTCTTTGGTTCATAAGGTATAACAAGTTTGTATGCTTTGCCTTCTTTAAGGTTTGAGAACCTTCTGTCAAAATTTTCTTTGACTGCTAACAAACCTTCTATGTCTAAGTCTTCAAATTTCGCACCATTTTTAGTCACAATAGCAAACTTAACTGGTTCGATGTTCCAAACTTTGTCAAATGTAGACTTTTCAAAATGGTAGAAGTAAACATTCAAATAAGCGAATGGGTCTAGTTCTTCTTTGACTTCTGTCATGTACTTGTTGACTGAAATATATTTCGTCATCTTTTCTATCGGATAAAAAAATATTTTTTTTTAAATTTACTCAGAAAAATTTTTCTTTGTATATACGCCGTTCTGAACATCTAAAAGACTTTTGACATTTGCCAAGAATGTACGTTTAGAAGCTGCCATATAACCATACTCTTGACAATATTGTTTATATGAATCGTACAATGACCTTTCATCTAAACACTCAAAGTTAGTCTCATCTATAAACAGTTCATAAACACTCTTGTTTGCTTCTAACAATGTTTGTCTCTCTTCGGTATGTGGAATTTGTCTTGGATTGAACTTTGAAATATCTAATGTCATAAAATATGAGAACAAGTGGTTGTAAAAGTCAGATGTCAAAGTTTCTGCTAAGTCGTCAAAATATTCTGTATCTTGCATATGAGAATCTGACGTTCTGACAACTACATATCTTCTGTCAGAACTTTCTAACTTCATCGGAACAACATTGTTTGAAACCATGACGAAGTTTGCAACATTTTCACAAACTCTTTGGTCTTTATATTTTCTTTCAACAACTCCAACTTTATCTGTTATAAGACTCTTCAAAGCATCTGAGTTTAAAACCTTTGTTGTATCTATACTTTGAAGTTCGTTACATACTATAAGTTTCATATTCTCTATTGAAGAGTTAAATTTACCGCAGATGTTTTCTAAGTTTGTCATATTCGGATTCGAATAACCTTCTAATAGTTTGCATAAGATATCTGTAAAGAAAGTATTCTTACCTGTTCCTTGTTTTCCAATTATAATGAGAGCAGTTTCATTTTTAGCACTTGGATGTTGTAAGATGTTTGCAAACCAACATAAGATATACTCATAAACCTTTTCGTTTCCATTGCATATAATTTCTTTGACATGGTCTAACCAAGCTTCTATAATATTTTCTTTCCATTCTACTTGTTCGTATTTATATCCAGTGAAGATAGAATAGAAGTTTGGAGAAGGTGTATAAAACTTTATACCTCGAACTGAAAAATCTTCTAACTTTGACAATAAGATATCCCAACCATCTAACATCTTCATGCCAACTTGTACGACTTTTATTTTCTTAAGTTTCTGTCTACATTCTTGTTCAGACACTATTGTTGCTCTTGGTTTGTTAAAGACAACATCCCATTCTTTCATGACATAACATTCTGGGGCAGAGTCGACATAAATGACTAAACGTTTCAAATTCTCGACTGCTTTGTTATAGTCTCGAAATGGACACATATTTCTGAATGCTTGGAAGTCATAAAAATCTGAAACATCTATTCTGTACATTTTTATAAAAATAAAAAAAATATTTTTTTTATTCTTGACTTTGTTGTTGCATTTGTTGCATTTGTTGTTCTTGAGCTATTTGTTGTTGAAGTTGTTCTTGTAATACAATACTTTCACCAGTTGCATCTTCCAATTCGAAACTTTCTGCCGTCATTGACAAATACATAGGACATAAAAGTTTTACAGGAACAAAGTTTGCGTCAACTAATGTCAACGTTATACTTGCCAAAGTGTTTGAGTTCACTAAGGTTGAAAATTCTGCATTCGAATGAACAATAGGCAAACCAGCAGAGAAAGTATTGTTTATACGCATAAGTATCTTTTGGTCATAGTAGTTTCTGTCGACGTTCGAATAACACTTTGAACCTAAGTTTGAAACAATATATAAAATAGGTGTGCTTAAAGTCAATGGAACAGACATTCCTTGTATGACACCTTTTCCTGTTATAGGAAACTGTTGGTAGTAAAAACCAGATATAAGTTTTGTATTATAGCTCATATCGTTTATAGTAAACTCAGTCGGACATCCAAACATAATGAAACCCGCTCTAGTTGCAGCACATGTTACACTCGTACGTAAAGTATTAAATAAGTCAACAAAACCTGTTGGTGGTATATCTGAGTAAGTATCTTCAAAGGAGTATTTTTTACCATTCACAACAATAAAGTCTTCTGGTGTCAAAAGAGCAAAACAGGCTTTAGTCGTCATTGTGTTTAAGGTCAGTTTACAATATCGTCCTTGAGGACTTTGTAAGTTTGTTGTTATAGAATTATATGACTCAGGGTTTTTAGTCGTAATAGTATAAACCACTATGTCTTCTGCCATTTACTTAGCAACTAAATTTTAATGAAATGTTGTGGTCGTCAAATATTTTTATGACGTCTGGGAAACTATATTTTAAGTTCAACGTTTCACCTCCTTTCATAACGTATATCTTGTCAATGACATTATATGAAACACCACAGCAACTAACGTCGGGTTCTATTTCTTTGATGTTTATATCGTCTGCCTCTGTCAAAAGTTTCAATAGTTCTTTCAAAACTTCATGAGGTGCAATGACATATGAGTTCACTTTTACAGGGTTGTGTTCGACCAAGTTTAACATTATACCCAAAGCCTGACAAATCTTCTCCTGAGTTTTAAGTTTGTCTTTAAGTTGTTGGTAGTCGTTTCGAATATCTGCAACAGAACTTAAGTCTCTGCTAACTTCAGGGTATGTTGGTTGTTCTTTTACAGGAACTATTGTTATACCATCTTCGTCTTCGTATGGTTTCCCCACTTCAACATCTCTTTCTTTGACATTGACAACAACACTTTGACTGTTTGTTTGAGTTGGTGAATTTAACTTCACATCTGCCACCGCCATTAAACCTTTTGAAACACTTATGCTTCTATTTTTCGGAAATGACATTTTACTTAGAATAAAAAGATGGACGTATTCGGATATCTCTTCGAATTGAAGCAAAACAAGGTTTATACTCACAAACAATACAAATACATTGACAGAATAGTTCTTTATACAAACAATGGAAAATGTTATAGAATAGCAGTCTTTGCTGAACCTAAATATTTTCATAAAGCAAAGAAAGTTGGTATAACCGAGATGGTGAAAGTTCTTGAAGCAGACAAAAATATAACTTCAAAACTGACCGATATTTCTAAAGGTAAGTTTATAATACAATATTATGTCAAAACTGGCGTACTGTCAATATTTGACGGAGAGAAGTCAGTTCAAGAACAACTTACTGACCTGCTGCCAAAATCTGCTCGATGGAAGCTGTCGTTATGCCAATCTGAGGAGCCCCAGCAGGTTTCATCGAACGAATCTTCAAAAGAGCATCTTCCGTGAAAAGTGCTATTGGTTTTGTAAACTTCTTTGCTTTCAATTCATCTGGACCGTCTCTGTCACCAGTATATTGTATTTGAACTGTACCAACAGTTGAAATACCACCCATAAAGTCTCTGAGTCAGCAAATGGAATGCCAAGCCAAAAGTTTGAACGGTCTCCATTTGTATATTGAGTTTTTTGACCTCCTGTATGAGTCCATACTTTCACATATGGCATAATAGAACTTTGCATTTCAGGGTTAATGGTTGTTGTGAAGTTGTTGTTAAAGTTCATAGCATCTAATGTCAAGTTGTATGACCTCATATCCTCAACTGTAGAATATTCTTCTCTTGGATAATATTTGCCATCTATGTTTATATGATATTTAATACCGGGGTTGTAGAAACAAGAATAGTCATTTATAGTTCGTCTGAACAGTACAAACATAGTATCTGCATGTTTCATTGCAGTTGTTAAGGCAATATCTGTTCTTGCACCTGGGTCAGCACTTTGGTTTCCAACTTCACCTGCAAAGTCTTTGACAGATATTTGGTGTATAGGGAACATAAGTGGAACTGCAATATATTTGGCAGCTAAAGCATTTGAAATATCTGGGTCCAACATATAGACTGCAAGTCTGCTTTCTATTCTCTTGCATTCAAATTTTTCGCATGTGAACTTAACTGGTCCCAAGCATCTCCAGCAGCATTGAAATAATAGTTTACTTCAGTGTTGAGGTTTGAGAAACCAAAGTCTAAGTCAACTTTGTTTTTGCAAAAGTCGGCGAATGACATTTTATTTGTTCCCACTACTTCTGTAAGAGTGAATGGGTCTTGTGTTGGTGCAATGACTAAGTTATTTTTGCTTGGAGTAAGTTCAATAGAAATTTTTCCTGCCCAGTTTGGCAAGTATCTTAAAAACCTGAAGATGAGGAAAGATGACAAAGGAACTCTAAGTTTCAATTTTACTTTGGTTACTGCTGCTGCAGTTTGTCCAGAAAGGTTAACATAAAACTCCTGGAACGTTAGGGTCAAGTCTTCTTATTTTCTCAATAGTTGCATACTGGTCTGTTTGTTCTCTAGCTTGTGGTTGTACTGAGTTTCTCAAAGCGAACCATTCATAGTTTGCCCATGTTACTGTTTGAACTAAGTCAGAGTTAGAATATATCTTATATCCCATGAAAACTTCTGGAGCATATTGGTATCCGACATAGAAAATTCCATTGCAACCTTTCTTGTCAGACAACTTGGCAGAAGGTTTTATTTCAATGTCTTGTTCCACGTATAAGAATGAGTTGTCAATAGAAATTATATGAAACCTGTCGCAAGCAATATCTACTGTTGTTGAAGAACCTTCTCCAAACTCACCTACATTTCCATAAGAAACAGCAGTTGTATATTCGTAAGTTCCAGGAACTATTTCTGACCTTCTAATGGCATTGTCGCATTCGTTATACCATTCGGAAACATTTCCATTCATAGCATCCAAAACTGTTGGCGTTATATTCTGAGCGGCGTACATTTCATATGAGTAAAAATATAGAATAGTTGGATTTATATGTCATAATAGAACCCACTCCGACCAAGCTTTACTTTCTTCCTGACTGAGTTTTAACTCTTCTTTTTCCTTCATTGCCCTCTGCTTGAAGTTGTTGCATCTTTGCATTATGTTCATCTAGTATGTTGCAAATTTCCCATGTCCTTTTTGCCTTTTGGCTCTGGTCGCCCATCTCAGGTAACCTATATCCTAGAAAGAGTTTGTCATAGTCTGTATTTGAGTCTTCGCGTATTGTTTGCATGACTCTTTCCTGAGTTTCCGGTTCAAGCTCTTCAAACAGTGCCTGTCCATATGGAATATGCTCGTTTCCAAATATATGTTTTTGTAGCCATTCTGGTTTTCTTTCCATGTTACCAACTATATCTTTTGTGAATGGGAAAGCTTTTACCCAATCTTTCAGTCTTGCGTCGTTTATTTCTGTAGTTGGTTTTATTTTGTCAAGGAACATGTTTTTCAATACTAACATTTCATTTGGTACTGTCCATTTGAGTTTTCTTAAATATTCATCCCTTCTCGATTCATCGTCTGCAAAGTAAGTTTTATGACATTTTGTAAACTTTCGTTTGCAAGGTCATGTACAATAGGTTCTCTTCCTTCGCTCTCCCTAACTTTCTTTCTAAACTCTTCACCAAATATACCATCTCTATGGTTCTGTGTAGTTCTTTGAGATAAATGTTCTAGAACGTCAGGTGTTATATTTCCATCAGCCATGTTCATTTCATACTGGTTCAAAATATCTGCATCTTTCATATCTTTCAATGGCATTAAAGCCGCGCTGAAAATACCAGCTATATCTGGTTCACCATTCACTTCCATTGCGTCTACAACTTCTTGGAATTGAGGTTGTAAGTTTATGAACCACCTATCTGGATTAGCTTTATGACCCCATCTCATTGTAGTTCCATCGTCTGCAGAAACAAAAGTAGGTTTGTTTCCATCTTGGCTAGGTTCTGAATGAACTTTAAACAATGTTTCATTTCTATATGTTTTCTTGAAATTTAACCTTTTATCTTCACCGAGTTCATCCGAAGATTGAACGTTAAATGCTCGTAAGTAAAAAGGGTTGTTGTATTTGTGTACATTTTCTTTCAGTTCTTCCATTCTATGCTGAATATTTTCATCTGGTGTTGGAGTCTTTTGTATGTCGGTGAACATTTTTCGATATTCTTCTACTATGTCAGCCGAATTTTTTTTAGACTCTTGGAAATATTCCATATTCTCCGCATACTCTTGTTGAGGGTCAAGATTTTTCGGCTGTTCCAAATCTTCATCTAGTTCTGTGAGGTTAGTTTCCAAAGGAGCGACTTGTTCGTTTCCTTCAGGCTCTTCTAGCTGTTGTTGCTGAACTATTTCTTCCATGTCTGGTTGTATCTGAACTAGTTCTTCCTGTGGAGTTTCTTGTACCTCATCTGCTGGCATTTCATATATTCCGAGACCGTTTTTAACAAGTTCCCTATTTAAGTCATCTGCATTCATAAGCCTTTCTTCTTTCGTTCCGTCTCTATTTTTTACGCGTTTCATGAAGATAGTTGAATCATCATTTATCTCTGACATAAAATATCTCGGAGTAAATTCAGTCATGTCATTTGGACGATATGCTATTAAATCATATCCCTTAGCGAGCTTGTATTTTCCAGGTTTGAAATTATATCCGATTTTATGCTGAGCCATAAAGCTAAATAGGTTCGGGTCAGTATTTTCTTCCTTGAACTTTCAATAGCTTCTTTATATCTGTCACTAAAGTCAATAGTCTGGTAACCATATTTTTCCTTTAGCATTTTTAAGAATTCTTGGTTTCCTTGTTCTCTACTTCTTTTATGTCCTTGCTCTGTTTGGTTGTGGTGCAGTGTTTTGAACTGTTGGTTGTGGTGCAGTGTTTTGAACTGTTGGTTGTGGTGCAGTGTTTTTGAACTTGGTTGTTGTGCAGTGTTTTGAACTGTTGGTTGTTGTGTTGGTTGTTGTGTTGGTTTTGGTGCATGCCTGTGTCTGTGTCCATGTGACGATGTAAATGTTTTAGGTAGTCCTGGTGCAGGTGCTTCTCTTGGAGGGTTTGGTGGTATATAAATTCCAACAGCTGGTATATAAGTTCCACCAGCTGGCACATATGTTCCATCTGCAGCGTAATGTCCTACCTGACTTTTCGTTCTTAAGAAAGCATTTACTAGGTCTGTTTTGGTCTGTTGTAACTCTTTTCTTGACTTTTCACAACAGTTGCTCTAACGGCGTCATAGGCACTTTGAACTGCCTGTCTAGTTGCTGCATCTGTTATTTTCGTCATATTTTGTGCTACTTCTCTTAACTCTTTGTCGAAACCTTCAGACTTTCAGTTTCTTTCCAGATGAGAAGTCGTTCACTTGTTTCACCTTACTATGAAGAGCTTCGAAGGCGTTTCTTAAAGTCAGCATTTGTTAAAGCTTCATTTGAACTGTCTTCATCCGCTTGTATTTTTGTCCTTATTGACCCTATAAGCTGGGCTGCTTTAGCGTTGGCTTGGGCATCTAACCAGTCATTGTTAGCTTTTATATATTCTGCGCTTTTCATTGCCTTTTGCATAGCCGCGTCGTTATTTTTACTTTCTTGTGCTAAGTTTTCATACTGTACGGTTTGGTTTTGCAACTGTAAAAGTTTTTCTGCCTTTACATTTGCTTCAACTTTCTTTTTTATACTCATCGCTATCCATATATGTCTTCAGGGCTTTTTGTTTTATCTCTTCATCTTTCAGTACTTTATATTGAGTAGTATGGTTTTCAAATTTATGACATCTTGTTCCATTTTTGCTACTTCTGCTGCTTTTTCTGACACTTTTTTCGCATATTCCTCTGTACTTAGTTCTTTCAGTTGTTCTTCTTTCTTCTTTTCTCTACGTTTAACTCATTGAGTTTCTTTGTGTGTCTGTCATATTCTAGTTTCTTTTCGTTTTCACTTATTTGCTTCTGTATGTCTATGTTTGACTTTTTGACATCTGTTATTTGATTTTTGATGAACTCAAATTCATTTGACTTGAGGGTTATATGCTGTTCCGTCTGCAGCTCCACCATAGCCTGCCATTTTCGCTAAAAGTGCCGCTCTTAAACCTCCACTCTGTGCACCAACAACTCGGTTTAAAAGCATAGGATTGCTTGACATTTGTTGCAACATAGTGGGGTCATTCAGCATTTGTTGTTGCAACTGTTGTTGTGGTGTTAGTCTTACTATTGGATGTTTCAATGCTCTCTTCCTCTTACGTATATTCTTACGTAGCTTACGTGGCATTTTAAGTGAAGTTAAAAAGCGGTTTTTGACAGATGTTTTGTTATGACTTCTTCGTAAAGACTTTGTTAAGATTTCATCGTAATGAGTGTAAATGACCAAAAAATAATGTTTATGTTAGAATGTTAGATCTAACACCTTTTCTAACATGTTTTCTAACATCGTAGAAAACTCATGAATTTCTTCGTAAAGACTTTGTTAAGACTTCTTCATCTAATTTCTCATGAACTTTCTTGTCTATGTTTTGTTAAGATTTCATCGTAAAGACTTTGTTGAGATTTCTTCGTAAATGACCCTAGTAGTATATTTTTGGTGTAAAATTTCATGAAAATTCACGATGTTAGAAAACATGTTAGAAAAGGTGTTAGATCTAACATTCTAACATAAACATTATTTTTGGTGTAAATTTCATGAAAATTCACGATGTTAGAAAACATGTTAGAAAAGGTGTTAGATCTAACATTCTAACATAAACATTATTTTTGGTGTAAATTTCATGAAAATTCAAGAGGTGAGAAAAGAGGTTAGAAAAGAGGTGACATCTCACCTCTTCACCTAAATTATATTTTTGGGTCATTTACGCTCATTACGAAGAAGTCTTGACAAAACATTTACGAAGAAGTCTTGACAAAGTCTTTACGAAGAAGTCTTGACAAAACATTTACGAAGAAGTCTTGACAAAGTCTTTACGAAGAAGTCTTGACAAAACATTTACGAAGAAGTCTTGACAAAACATTTACGAAGAAGTCTTGACAAAACATTTATATAAAGAATAACAATTTTCCGAATAAAAACTTCATTTATACTCATTCATCCTCAGGGCTAGAAGGCACGAAGTGCCTGGGAGCCCCACTACCTTTTTTTTTTTTTTTTTTTTTTTTTTTCGTTTTAATTTCCATAATTTTAGTCGATTAAGCCTCCGCCAATTTGAGAATTCAAATTTAGGGTAATATCAAATACGCATTTAATAAACTTCAAATTGAAGTAATGCTGAGCCTTTGAAATGTATCGTTAACATTACAAGCCTATGAAATCCTGAAATATAATTTCTTATCAGATTTCCTTATTAAATGACTAAATATTCAAATATTATACATTCATTAAACAATTTTACACATATGAAATTTCTTGTCATTTCACAGATTTCACAAGGAATCTAAATGAAAATATATGAAAATCTAATATAAGATATACATATCATATAACTTTCACAAAACATATTATCAATTGAAACAAATCAATCTGTTATGCTAAATTTCAATCATAAGATAAAATTCATGATAAATACTAGCAGTAACGCATAAAATCTCATTTGTCGATTAGAATTTTAGTATGAAGAAGTTTTTCGGGTAAATCTTTGATAAATTGGAATAAAAACTTTACATATCCTTTTTTCATTCAAGTATTTTACTAATATAGATTATACTTTATCAATTTTTATTACAGATGTTTATAGAATTAATGATAATAAGGAAGATATTTGTGATATAACATAATTTTTTATTATTCATGGTCTTTTCATCACTCTACTAGTTACATAAAGCAGCAGTAACACTCATTCTCCTTGATTGGAATTCCAAAATGTAAGAAAATTTTGTAAAGAAGAAAAGTGACGAAAATTTTAATAAAATCTTTTTAAAATGCGGCCTTTAACTTATAGACCACATACATCGATTAGATCTATTAGTCCAATAATAATCAACAATAATTTACGACCTTTATCAGCTTTAACTAATTCCAACGAAAGATTAGTTCCATCTGCGAGGACTGTCCGCACAATTGTTGCTCCAAGAATGATAAAAAACACTTGTGTTGAAATGAAATCGTCAGCAGACTCGTTTTCGCTGCTTACTAAGTCATATAAATTTTTCATGAACAAATTACCCGATGGAATATTCACCGATTTTTCATTACAGTTCCAAGAACTCTCCGAAAACTTTAAGAAATTCCATTCATTAACAGTATCACAGCTAGATTCACGTCGCGCAAAAACTTCGTTATCAAAATTGAACCAAGATCGCAAAAATACGAATCTTTCGAAGCACGCAAATAAATTAACAAAGAAATTAGAGGAGTTTGCAGTGTCAGCACACTCAATTAACGCTAGTGGAACTACACGTTATTATGAATTGATGCAGGAAGGGTTTCAGTTCCTTTTTGAAAGCCTAGATACAATAAAGAAGTCGATAAGTGGATGTAGAACTACACAGGATAAGTCAATGGTTAAATATAACCAGTTATATGCCATCGCGTTTCATGCAAAGAAAACTGTCGATGACACTTTTGCTCTACCTGCTTCAAAGAGGTTTGATAACTTTGATTTTCAGACTTTCAAAAATTCGATGATACAAATTACGTCATTAGCAATTTCTATTCTTTCCAAAGGCATTCCATTAAGACTTACATCATCATACCAAATAGCAAACCTAAGATCTACGATTTCTACCTCTTGTCTTACGATATCAAATTTAATGGAGTCTTCTCTTTGTTTTCAAGATGATATAACACACTTAAGATCGTGTTTGATCGATTTTACTAACCATCTTAAGTTTATTTTTGAGAAACTCTGTCTTCCTTTTGACGTGAATTTTAACTTTGAGAAATTCAAAACTCTGAACGCGGAAGATCTTGTTGAAGATGAGGCTTCAATAAATTACGATATGAATTCTTAAAACTTTAAGAAGAAAAAATAATTCTCATCAAATTTTCCAGTTTTTCTTCAAAAAGTATTAGAAATTCCTATTTTATAATTAATTTTGTTATATATTGATTTTTTGTTCTTATTATTAAATATTATTTGTTTGTATCATAATATTTTCACTGAAATAAGGTTTTACATCATCAACAAACCCTCTTAGAGCTAATATCATGCTTTTTGAGCGCAATATAGCTACAAGTCATAAGATACTTTTGGCTTCATGGTCGAATTTAGAATTTGACTTTGCTGAAATACATTCAAACAATATTTATAGATATATTTGACTAAGCCAAAGTATTTATAATTATAAACAGATATGCTAAGCTACTCATATCGGGAGTAGAATCACTTCTTCGGAAAATTAAAAAAAAATCATTATAGAAAGGTAACTAAACTCCTTTCGCCGATCCGATTTGCCCCATATTTAAAATATAGCTTGCATATGTAGAAGAAAAGCTAATTTTGAAGTACGCCCCAAATCCACCAACAGGATTTCGAGCTACTAAAAAGGTACTTTTAAATGTGATTTTTTTTTATAAAAAATTAAATTTATTTTAAGATCAGACTAAAAACTAATTTTATGGAAAATCTATATCGACAAATTTATTACTTATTGGGTATATAGATTTTTTTGATTATGGCGATTATGTCTGATATGCTTCCAATAAGCCAAAACACATTTCATACTGATTTCTATAAAAGGTATCTTTATTATAGAAGTGTAAGCTATAGGGTGTCCAAAGGTGTGTTTAGCACAAACTTGAATACTGCGAATAGAAATAAACAAGTTACATATATATAAAGTTTATTTAAATATAATCACCATTGGATTCAATCACGCGTTCGCAGCGATCGATCCAGGCTTCAAAGACACGCTTTAAATCATCATGAGAAAATTGCTCAAATTGCTCTCTTACAAAATTTTCAAGATCATCTGGACTCGCGAATTCGCGTCCTTCAGCTCTCTTTTTTAGCGTGCCGAATAAATAAAAGTCAGAGGGTGCAATATCAGGTGAATAAATTGGGTTTGGAACAACTTTGACATTGTTTTCCACCAAGTAATTCATTACCTTATGACTTTTGTGAACTCTTGAATTATCAAAATGAATTGCAAACTTTTGTTTTTGTTGTTTGGATTTCTCAAACTCATCAGAATTGATAATTTGAGTAAGAACATTGTCAATTAGATACTGAGCATTCATCGTATTAGGTTTTTGAAGAATATCAATTGCGATGATGCCATTCACGCCCCAAAAAACCGACAACATCATCATTGGTGTGTCAATTTTTTTCTTCGGGAATGTTTGCGGATTTTCATCCTTCGGGATCCACATGATTTTGGCTTCTGTTGCATATTGAAACCAAGACTCGTCCCCTGTTACTAAAAAGCGAAACTTCTTGGATTGATACGCACGCAATATAGAGAGGAGCTCTTTCGAAGATTGGACTCTAGATTTTTTTTGAACTGAATTAAGGTTGTGCGGAACCCAACGTGTATACGCTAGTTTGTAGTTCAAATAATTGTGCAGATAATAACTGACTGTTGTACATGGTATCTTTGTCATCTCCTCTATCCTTCTGAGTGATGCTCTTGGGTCTTCATCTAGCGCTTGAAGAATTGCTTTGATTTTTCTTTGATCCGGCGATTTTTTGTCAATTTTTATGATGGGCGCCTTTTTGTTCATGAAGTGATACATCCTAACATGATACGTTACAGTGGAATAGCTAGGAGCATCCATACCGAAGCATTTTACCAATGTCTCGTAGATTTTTTACAGTCTTTGCATTTTTTTGCAAGAGCGAGGATGTTTTCTTTATGATTCATTAAAAAAATGAAAAAAATCCCGCCAAAATTTCCCGCGAAACCGCCTCTTGTCTCAAAATTCATTTTATATCCCGGCATGGCGCCAAAATACAACTTACTCATCATATACATATATTCATATTTTTTATTATATATTTATAATCAGCATATATCTCCTTTAATAATCTCATATAGAGCGCTGTGCTAAACGCACCTTTGGACACCCTATATATATGTTTGTTTTTTTATTATAACAAATTCAAAATTCTCTTATAAGGACTAGATGAAATCTGTATTATTAAATCATTAGCTAAATGAAGGTTCAAATAGAAAGTAAATATCAATTTATATGATACTGAAACCAAATAGTTCTTTTAATAAAAGATAACACTCTGAAAATTATTGAGTATTTGCAAATCTCAAAAATCTATTGGTGAATTTGGCTCAACTTTTAAAATTATAACATCCATATCAAATCATAAAAGCAGACAAAAATTAAAGCCAAACCTATCGGCCAATTTTTTTTGATATTTTGATTTTTGAGGTATACTTTTAAAAGTGGATTTAAAGCACTGATGAAAAAACATTAACTTCTGTCGTTATGATTATTGATTTAGACAATAATGATTTTAATCTTTGATTATCAAAACACTAAAGTCATCTTTTTAACATTTGCTTGGTAGCATTACCTCAAGTCTAAAGTACTATTTTATGTGGCACTCTTAGAATTTTTGTATTCATTGTACACGCTGAAATAGTACCATTAAAGTTATGGCGGACTTTCAAAAAATAGTTTGGTCACCTTTCATTATAGTTGATTTATTCTAATCCACTTAAAATGTGAACATACCACAAATGATTATCATCAAAACAGTCACAAAATACTCCAAGAATTTGTGCTCCAAAATGAGGTTCAAAGAATTGATTTCTGATATGAATCGATAATCTTCGAAGAACTTTTTCATCATAGGGAACCATTTTTTGTGTTCTTGGGTCAAAGATCTTGAATTCCTCTGATTTTGCACCATCAACAAATTCTCTCATTTCTTCGAGCTCTTTGTTAGGTAAAATTTCTTTGCGTTCTTGAATATATGTATTCATTTTCTCTTTGAATATGGCAAATATTCCAAAATCATCGATTGACGCAATTCTGAACCGAAACTGTTTAAACATAAAACGTCTCATAACTGACTTCGTTATCTTTCAAGGTTTCTCACGTTATGATATTGAACTCATTTGGAAACAGTCAGGTATAACATTACCTTTTGAAGAAATTTGGGAAGCATATAAGTCTCTCATCTCTCCTCGTTCATACCTTGAGATTCATATCATGACTAATACCATTAAAGTCAAAAATATTCCATGGGAACGACCAACATTGTTTTAAAGTTTAACCTTCAATTGACTGATGGTAAACAAATTCCATGCATCTCTGTCGCCATTTCTGTTAATATTTTTGGTGTCATTCATATCATCCAATTCCCCATCCGTTAGCTTTTGAGGATATGCGTTAGAATAGCTGTTCTTAAATGAAGGCTTTTCACCTTTGAGAGCATAAACTCTATAACTTTCTGCATACTTTATGTTTGAACCTCCTGAGCCATCATTGACATAAATTTTTATAGGCTTCCACCCTTTGTTCATGTTCCTGCTTCTTCCCTTAGCTCTTTTGTTCAATAGTTCTACATCTTTATACACAGCACCTGTCTCAGTGAATTCAACAATATTTTCATTCGTTAGCTTTACATTCAAACCCTTGTCGAGTATATTGTTCATTTCATACATATAAAAGGTTTTTATTCTATATGAAATGAAAAGCAAATCCATCTTAGCTGGTGCCGTTAATGTTCCAATTGAACCAACATCAAATGTTGACTCACGAACGACAAACAATATTGTCATAAAGAACTATAGTTCAGAGTGTTTGAAAGAAAAAGAACCAGAACTTAAGTCGGGACCTTCGGTCTTGGAGCATGGCGCCGTGAATTTAAACACAGCTTCAAACGCTAACGCTACATCAGATGTTAAGTTAGAGTATCCACCACTGGACCAAATTCTTTCAAGAGAAGCCAACGACAATCCTTACACAAATGTTCAAACAAATCCTTCAGATAACGTAGACCATTACCTTCTTCAGTTATACCAAACAATTTTACTCAAAGACGATAAGAAGCTTTTGACAAATCTTATAAGCAAGAACCAAATAATTCTAACAAAGGAGGACCTTGAAAATGTTATCTCACGAATAACAGGGAAACAATGTGTCATTGACTATCTCGACCCTGAAATCGAATGCTGTGGTCAAACTCCACTATTCATGAAAATAGGTAACATCCGCATCATTGAAACACCAGGAACTACAGGAGTTGAGTTTAAGTATAAATATTCGAATGAATATACAAAACTTTCAACAGAATATAAACTTTGTTTGAAATATGTTTTAGTAAATTAAAGCAGTCAGGAGGGCTCTTTGAGTCCATCTTGGCGCTTTGCGCCGTCAGTCAAAAAAATTTCAAGTTAACAACTTATAGTATCTATCCAAAACTTCTTCAACAGTATCGAACTCATCTTCATAATGCAAACCTAATCTTATTGACTTGGTGCAGTTTTCACTAACACAATATTTTTCTGTTCTCTTGACTGACATAACTAACTCATTTGTTTCATCAAACAGCAACAACCAAAGTTCATGACCTAAAATATAACATTCATACTTTATATTTTTAGCTCTGAGTTCTCTTGTAAGCCGTTGCATTTAATATTTTCTAAAAAGTCAACTTCAACAGTCATTCGCACTGGTGCCTTCAGTTCTACAGGCTCGCCCTGAAAGTCAACAAGTCTGAATTGCATGTCTTTCAAATTATGAGGACTAATGCGAACCCATTTACCTAAATGAGTTGCTATGACAGGAACGTTTGGAATGAACATTGAATTTACTGCATAACAGAAAGACTTATATTCTACTGAACCTTTACTATTAACTCCTGAAATACCTGTGACATTAGCTATTTTAGACTCAATGTATAAACAATTACCATAACATACGTATGGAACAGATTTCATCTCAATCGTTTTGTCAACACTTTTCAAAGGAAATGTCATATGGTATGCTCCCAGAAGCAATTGTACTCTATGACTCATTCGTGTTATCTTAAACTCCTTCGCATAACTGAACTTCAAAACTCCTGCAATAAGTTTAACATTCATTAAGTTTTCTTCGTTATCCTTGTTTATTGTAGTATTTATGAGAGCATTTAACACTCCAGCTAATGTTTCCATCTTATATTCTACATTATTGTGAAATCTTATCTCGTGCTTCTTTCCATCTATTTCAATCTCCATGAAATCTGTTTCATCTGTTATAACGAATGAAGCGATAGTATTGAAGTCAACCATTCTGAATGCAAGCGCCTCATTCTGTAGACCTAAGTTTGTTTGTAGCTTTACTGTCCCGTATTCGTTTGGGTCTGTACTTTGCAAATAGAACAACATTTTATTCTCATTAAAATATGAGTATAGCTGCATATGCGTATGAAGCTGACAGAGCTAAACGTTTATATTTTGGTCAATACTCTCTCACACTTACTGACAAATATATTGTTATCACTGATGGAAATACTGAGAAATACATAACATGGAAGGACTATGAAAAGTTTGACCCTATTTTAACTCCATGTACTATGCCGTTTATAAAGGACGGTGAAATTATTGAAAAAGATAATACAACCGTATATAGGTCTGTTTATGAAGCATTAGAATATATGTTGAATCATAACCCAAAAAGATTTGACCCAAGCACTACACCATGTGCAATGCCTTTTATTAAGGACGGTGAAATCGTAAGAGTTCCGGATTCAACGGTTTACACAGCTGTTCAAAACAGTTTACAAAACATTTTAGCGAATATCTTTAATTCAGAAACTACAGAAATAAAATTACCGTATATAACAGATGCTAAAGAAATTAAATCAAAAACGACAACATTATTTACGTCACTTAATGATTTAATGACTTATATCATTAATATTCCTGCACCAACTACAGCATTTGATCCAAACTCGACGGTTTGCAGTGTACCTTTCATAAATGACAGTTCATTAATTACTTTAAGGGATTCGACAGTAAATGAATCATTAAAGGCGTCATTAATGAAAATCATTGATTTTAATTCATTCACGAATACATATAATTCATTCATTAATGTTTCATATGCTTCTAAAGAAGGTGAGCCAAAAACTATTGATAAAGCGGTGTATGAAATAAAAGCATCAACGACGAAATTGAATTCGTTAACTTTTGACGGTGATAGTTTCGTTAATGACATAACATCGGGGAAAACAATTTTAACGAAAGAATACTTAAAATCTCATGTTAGTGAGTTCGTTGAAATTGAAAAAGAAGGTGGAATTAAGTTCGATCCACTGAATTTCATTTTCAGCTTAGCGAATGCGGGTGTTAGTTTCGCTGAATGGACAACTATACAGAGTGAAGAACGAAAATCTAAGTTCTTTGTAATTGTACCCAACATGTACATATAAGAAATATTCACTCATTTTTCTCGGATTTATCCTTTTAACTATTTCCTCATCAGCATCAGGATTCAAAAAATTGGCATATGTTACGTTTGAAAAAATGCGTTCTGGATGCATTCCAAGAATGTATGGATCATAAGAATAAATATATTCTATCAATGATTTCTCGTAAGGAGTAAAGCACACGAGACTCTCTCCTGTATTTATTCCACACATTAATTTTTTTGATCAAAAAAATTGACAGATTTTAAGAGAGCAATTACAACTTTTTGACATTCTCTCACAAAATCAGCAAATTCTTGTTTTAATAATAAAAAAGTATAACATCCACAGAAGGTACTACATGAGGATTTATAATAACTTTAGTTATGAAAATATTAATTTTTCACCTTTTTAGATCATATGATAGTAAGATAGAGAAACCCATGTTCTCCAAGCAATTGAATGCTCTTAGATATAACTAAAAAAACAAGAAAGAAATATGTCTTTTTCATATTCATAAAAACGTCATTTAAAAGCAATTTTATAATAAATAAAGAAAAAAATAAAAAATAAGAAAAATACTAAAAATCATTCTGTGGAAATTCGTCATTTGTTTGAAAGAAAACTGAAATTTACTTTGAAGGTTGTTCATCCAAAGGTGAGAAATGAACGTTGTAAAGGATAGCCGAACCTCTTGGAACCAAATCTACATTGATTTCAGCATCCTCATCCTCTTCAGCAAATTGTTTTTCGCGTTGCAAAGCGAGACATTCGAAATCCAATGAATTTTGATTGAATTTGATATGTAAAGGAATATAATTTATGTCAAGTTCTACTTCACTAGTGATTGCCTTCTTTGTGATATCGTAGATCTGTACACAACTCTTATTCCTTCCCAATCCACCTATCGCGAGCAATGTATAATCAACATCACCAGTGAAATGATGCATGCAAAATGCAGTTGCAACACTGTAAGCTCTGTCGATGTGGAAATACAACTGCAAATCTTTTTGTTCATCTTCAGCAGCTTTAATTGTTTGGTATTTATAAATTCTCACTGTGCAATCAAGAGAACTAGAAATGACGTAATCACCCAATCTCTTAACATTCGTGATTCCATCTGTGTGTCCTAAAATTTTCTCAACAACTTTTTGTGTCTTCGCGTTGTAAATATACATGATTGGATATCCTCTTGATGCTGCAATGATTTGATTACCTGGCAAACTGCAAACTTGTGTGAAAACAGCATTTTCACGGTTTGGAATCTTTGCGTCGATCATTGCTTTCGTTGGTTTTCCTGCGTGCCAGTAAATACTTCCTGCATCGTAAGAGTTCTTCTTTGCTGTTTCATTGAACTCTTTGTAGAGATCAGCTTTTTGATCTTGATCTTTTGATGACTTTTCCCAGAAGTATAATTTACCGAGAGCCGCAAGAACAACGTAGTTTTCTGTTACAGCCAATGATGATTTCTTTGGTATTTCTGATTGTTTGTTGATCTTCTTCATATAAAATGTTTCTCTGTTTTCAAGAAATTCTGAATCATCGGATTCAACAAAATCAGAAATATCAAATCCATGGACTCTTACATCAGCTGCAATCCACACTTTTTCTTCATCAATTGCTATGGATGTAGGTGGTGAGAAAACAGCTAATTGGCGAACTTTTCCTTTGTAATGCAACTCAGTAACATTCTTTTCACTGTTGAATTGTGCAACAACAGGTTCATAATCTTTGTCATATGCAACACATTCAACATTCTTAACTGTTTTCTGGGTAACTTCGCCATGTCCTGCGTAAATTGGCTGTACAAATGGTAATTTCTTCTGCCAGTTTCTGAAAACACTTTCAGGAACAGTTATTTTTTCTGAATTTCTGACAACTTTGTCAGGTGTTTGACCAATTCTTCCTGTTGTGTACAAAGCAGTTGTTGTTGATACCTGGCGTTCTATTGTACGTGCAGAAGCGTTTGTAATGAAGCTCCTTGTGTGATCAACGCATTCGATGTTGTTTATCTTCAGTCTGTTTCTTAATGTGTCTAATATCTCCAGGGAATAGTCTTCATATGTTGTTTGCTTCTTAAGACGGGCTTCTGGATCTGGCAACTCTTGTATCTCGTGTAATTTACGATACATGTCATTGAGATACTGATATCCTTGGAATTTGTAGTAATCAATGTTTTCTGTAGTGAGAGTTCCTTCTTGGAGAGTAGGAGGTGACTGGATTTGGATGCCATCTGTGTCTTTATCCTTTTCATCCTCTTCTTCTTGTGGTTCTTCAACTTTGAAGTTGAATTTCGTGTGGGCATTTGGATCTTCTGTCGAAACTATCTGGGATGAGGATTCTTTGGATGGCATTTGGGAGGGTTGCTTGGGAGGAAGCTGGAATGTAGGCTGTGGAGCGCTTTGGACTGGTGTATCTTGTGGTTTATGAGGAGGAATTTGGAATTGAGGAGGTTGCATAACAGGTGGCTGTTGAACTGGCTGTACTTGTGGTGGAGGTGGTGGTGTAAATGGTTTCGGAGGTTGGGGTGGTTGAATTTGGGAATAATCTGGAGAAATTGGGGGCTGGTTGTAATTCTGTGGTGTGAAAAGAGTGGGTGGTGCGAATGGCGGCTGGTATGGATTGGCGCTTGGCTGTTGTGGGCTTGGATTTGGAGGGGTTGATGGTAATTGGTTATTTTGACTAGATAAGTAAGGTGGGTAAAATGAATTCTGCATGTTTGGAGTTGACATTGGTGGCTGTGGAGGTGTTGTTGGCGGTTGGAAATTCATATTCTTTTTCTGATCAACAGTTTGTTGGTTTTGTTGGCTATCGAGTGGCTTGGCACTTGGATTTGGCAAGCTGTTCGTAAGAGGAAAGGCTGTGTCCAAATCAAGCATCATTGATGAATTCATTCTTGACGGCATCGAGCTACTGTCAGGGAAATCGTATGATGTAACATTTGGAGTTTCACGCTGTTGATATGAATCTGGAACAATCGAAGGTGCTGGCTTTATTTCTGGTAAAAAACTTGTATTTTGGATATTTGTTTGGTTGTTCGGTGGGAAATAAAATTGTTGTGGTTCTACCGGCATTGGAGTCTTAACTTGAGAAGAATTTTGTCCTGCATTATCATTGCCTTCATCCTCACTTCCTGAAGTACCTAATATCTTCTTTCTGTTATTGTTAAACCACAATCGCACATTTACTTGTGTCCAATGGCCTGGATTAGTCTTACTTAAAAGTTCCCATGTTTCTTTGTTGATTTGTTTTCGTTGTGGACTACGCTTCTTGTACTGAAAATACTTCTTAATATTTTCAACTAATATGTCTTGCTCGGCTGGAGTTGGATAATATTTGTTAGTTTCAGCCATTTAAAAATGTAAACTTCACAATTATTTGGCGGGATTTTACTGGCCTATAAGAACCGAACAAAATTGGGTTAAAGGCAAGGCAAGTGGGGCTTCCAGGCGCGTTGCGCCCTCTAGCCCCTAAAAAATTTCTGAGGACGAGCCAGCCGGTGACAAAACCAAAACCGTTGCTATTTACATCAGGTGAATAACTGGTGAGGGCTTCCAGGCGCGTTGCGCCCTCTAGCCCATAAGAAATTTTGCCCAAGACCCAAGAGGAGGACCGAACCCCAGCCGACCAGCCGGTGACAAAACCAAAACCGTTGTTATTTACATCATATTAATGGTGTCACTTTTTGTGTCGCTTTTCACAAATTATATATGTTTTCATGTTTTGTCACTTTTCTATCACTTTTCGAGTAAAAACATTTTTATTATTATATATAAATGAATTTTACAAAACCGCCGTTACCGTTCTTTGGAAATAAGAGTAGATGTAAAGATATTATATTGAGGTGAGTGGGGCTTTGGCTTTGGTTAGCGGTTGAGAATTGTTAATGTTTGAATTGTGGTTAACAGCGTTGGCTTCCATTCGATAAAAATGAACTGACCAAAAAAGACAGATATTTAAATATTTGAGATAAACCGTTTTCGTCAACGGTAACCCCCTCTATTTTTTTATTTTATTTAATAGTTACCGTGGGAAAAACGGTTTATCTCAAATATTGAATGAACTATAAACGTTTTTTGTTTTCTATATATACTTTTTTGTCCAACGGTAAAACTTTTTACACAACGGTTTTTGAGAGTCGTCGCCGTTGACTTTTTTGTAGAGCGCTCAAAATAGTATAACTTTGTCCGGACAAGTAAGGGTCTATCGTCGCTACAGGAAAAGTTACAGGCGTTCCAAAGAAGTATACTTTGAGAAGCCTTTTCCCACTTATAGAATGAGATAAGACGGTTATTTTACAAAACTGACAACACTTTGACCGAGTAGTTTTTTGTGCTGAACAAAAAGTGTCATATAAACATCTGTCAAAAACCGCCTTTTAACTTCACTTAAAATGCCACGTAAGCTACGTAAGAATATACGTAAGAGGAAGGGAGCATTGAAACATCCAATAGTAAAACTGACACCACAACAACAGTTGCAACAACAAATGATGAATGACCCCACTATGTTGCAACAAATGTCAAGCAACCCTATGCTTTTAAACCGAGTTATTGGTGCACAGAGTGGAGGTTTAAGAGCGGCACTTTTAGCGAAAATGGCAGGCTATGGTGGAGCTGCAGACGGAACAGCTTATAACCCTCAAAGTCAAATGAATTTGAGTTCACTCAAAAATCAAATAACAGATGTCAAAAAGTCAAACATAGACATACAGAAACAAATAAGTGAAAACGAAAAGAAACTAGAATATGACAGACAGACAAAGAAACTAAATGAGTTAAACATAGAGAAAAAGAAGAAAGAAGAACAATTGAAAGAACTAAGTACAGAGGAATATGCGAAAAAAGTGTCAGAAAAAGCAGCAGAAGTAGCAAAAATGGAACAAGATGTTATAAATTTGAAAAACCATACTACTCAATATAAAGTACTGAAAGATGAAGAGATAAAACAAAAAGCCATGAAGACATATATGGATAGCGATGAGTATAAAAAAGAAGTTGAAGCAAATGTAAAGGCAGAAAAACTTTTACAGTTGCAAAACCAAACCGTACAGTATGAAAACTTAGCACAAGAAAGTAAAAATAACGACGCAGCCATGCAAAAGGCAATGAAAAGCGCAGAATATATAAAAGCTAATAATGACTGGTTAGATGCCCAAGCCAACGCTAAAGCAGCCCAACTTATAGGGTCAATAAGGACAAAAATACAAGCGGATGAAGACAGTTCAAATGAAGCTTTAATGAATGCTGACTTTAAGAATGCCTTCGAAGCTCTTCATAGTAAGGTGAAACTAGTGAACGACTTCTCATCTGGAAAGAAACTGAAGTCTGAAGGTTTCGACAACGAGTTAAGAGAAGTAGCACAAAATATGACGAAAATAACAGATGCAGCAACGAGACAGGCAGTTCAAAGTGCCTATGACGCCGTTAGAGCAGCTGTTGTGGAAAGTCAAGAAAAAGAGTTACAACAGATCAAAACAGACCTAGTAAATGCTTTCTTAAAAACGAAAAGTCAGGTAGGACATTATGCTGCAGATGGAACATATGTGCCAGCTGGTGGAACTTATATACCACCAAACCCTCCAAGAGAAGCACCTGCACCAGGACTACCTAAAACATTTACATCGTCACATGGACACAGACACAGGCATGCACCACAACAACAACCAACACAGCAACCAACAGTTCAAAATCCAGCACCACAACAACAACCAACAGTTCAAAATCCAGCACAACAACCAACAGTTCAAAATCCAGCACAGCAACCAACAGTTCAAAATCCAGCACAACAACCAACAGTTCAAAACCCTGCACAGCAACCACAACCAGAGCAAAGACACAAAAGAAGTAGAGAAAAAGGAAACCAAGAATTCTTAAAAATGCTTAAGGAAGATTATGGTTACCCAGATACTCTTGACTTTAGTGACAAATATAAATAAGCTATTAGAAAGTTCAAGGAAGGAAATACTGACCCGAACCTATTTAGCTTTATGGTTCAGCATAAAATCGGATATAATCTCAAACCTGGAAAATACAAGCTCGCAAAGGGATATGATTTAATAGCATATCATCCAAATGACATGAATGAATTTACTCCGAGATATTTGATGTCAGAGCTAAATGATAATTCAACTCTCTTCATGAAACGCGTAAAAAATAGAGACGGAACGAAAGAAGAAAGGTTTATGAGTCCGGATGACTTAGATAGGGAACTTGTTAAAAACGGTCTCGGAATATATGAAATGCCAGCAGATGAGGTACAAGAAACTCCACAGGAAGAAGTTCAGATACAACCAGACATGGAAGAAATAGTTCAGCAACAACAGCTAGAAGAGCCTGAAGGAAACGAACAAGTCCCTCCTTTGGAAACTAACTTCACAGAACTAGATGAAGATTTGGAACAGCCGAAAAATCTTGACCCTCAACAAGAGTATGAGGAGAATATGGAATCTTTCCAAGAGTCTAAGAAAAATTCGGCTGACATAGTAGAAGGATATCGAAAAATGTTCACCGACATACAAAAGACTCCAACATCAGATGAAAATATTCAGCATAGAATGGAAGTACTGAAAGAAAATGTACGCAAATACAATAATCCTTTTTACTTACGACCATATAACGTTCAATCTTTGGCTGAACTCGGTGAAAATAAAAGGTTAAATTTCAACAAAACATATAGAATTGAAACATTGTTTAAAGTTCATTCAGAACTTAACCAATATGGAAACAAACCTACTTTTGTTTCTGCAGACTATGGAACTACAATGAAATGGGGTCATAAAGCTAATCCGGATAGGTGGTTCATAAACTTACAACCTCAATTCCAAGAAGTTGTAGACGCAATGGAAGTGAATGGTGAACCAGATATAACGGGTATTTTCAGCGCGGCTTTAATGCCATTGAAAGATATGAAAGATGCAGATATTTTGGACCAGTATGAAATGAACATGGCTGAGGGAAATATAACACCTGACGTTCTAGAACATTTATCTCAAAGAACTACACAGAACCATAGAGATGGTATATTTGGTGAAGAGTTTAGAAAGAAAGTTAGGGAGAGCGAAGGAAGAGAACCTATTGTACATGACCTTGCAAACGAAAGTTTGCAAAATGTCATAAAAACTTACTTTGCAGACAATGAACTGAGAAGGGATGAATATTTAAGAAAACTCAAATGGACAGTACCAAATGAAATGTTAGTATTGAAAAACATGTTCCATGACAAAATAAAACCAACTACAGAAATAAATGACGCAAGACTGAAACGTTGGGTAAAAGCTTTCCCATTCACAAAAGATATTATTGGTTACATGGAAAGAAAACCAGAATGGCTACAAAAACATATATTTGGAAACGAGCTTATTCCATATGGACAAGCTCTGTTTGAAGAGCTTGAACCGGAAACTCAGGAAAGAGTCATGCAAACAATAAGCGAAGACTCAAATACAAACTATGACAAAATCTTTCTAGGATATAGGTTACCTGAGATGGGCGACCAGAGCCCAAAGGCAAAAAGGACATGGGAAATTTACAACATACTAGGTGAACATGAGGCAAAGATGCTACAACTTGAAGCAGAGGGCAAGTTACCAAAAGCGACACCAAAGAAGAAGAGAAGAGTAGAACAAAGTGAAAGTAGTGAAGAAGTAACTTCATCTAGTGAAAGTAGTGGCAATGAAGGAAAAAGAAGAGTTAAAGATTCAGTTAAAAACTCAGTCAGGAAGAAAGTAAAGCTTGGTCCGAGTGGGTTCTATTATGACATATAAATCCAACTATTCTATATTTTTACCCATATGAAATGTACGCCGCTCAGAATATAACGCCAACAGTTTTGGATGCCATGAACGGAAGTTAGTATGGCTAACTTGGGTACGGCGACACTGCGTTCCACCTTACCCAATATAACCTTAAATATTTACAAAACCAGTAACGTATATTTTACAACACAAACGACAACACTAACTTAACATTAAATATTTACAAAGCCGCCAACCACTTCACCTCACTAACGTTTTCACAAACGACTTCACTAATGTAAAAAATAAACGTTCTCACTTACAAAAGTATTGCAACTCCTCCCATTGCTGTGCTTCACATAACAGCTCATAATCTTCTGACTCACTTTCTTCTTCATATAGGTCAAAGTCACTGTCAAAATAAATGTTAGTAAGTTTTGACAAAGCTAATGAAACACGCTTACCGTTTGTATCTATTGCTTTTATATATCTCCCATTATGTTTGTTGTCATAAACGCTCAAACTAACTTTACCCTTTCTCCCTCGTATCTGATAGAATGTATTTTCACGAGGAACGAAGAACAAATTCTTGAACTCATGACCGTTGTAGTTTGTTAT